CTCATCGGCGGTGTAGTCTACGATGCGGTGGACGCCATCGGGCTGGATGAGGGAGTAGGAGCCTTGGAGAGCTTCGCCGGCGCGCTGTTCGCGTTGCTGCTTGATATCACCGCTCTGGGTGTCGTGGACGGAGTAGTTGAACTCGTAGTTGGCGGGGGCTTCGGGTTCGGCGTAGGCGAGCTTGGCGACGGGTGCAGCGTATGCTACCTTGGCGACGGGGGCTTGGGCGTATGCTACTTTAGAGAGAGGAGCAGCGTATGAGATTTGTGCCGGGGCGTATGCCACCTTGGCGGCGGGGAGGACGGGTACGGCAACAGCGGCTGCAGCGGCCACTGCGCATAGGAAGACTAAAGCCTGAAATACAATATTAAATAATATTTATCTATTCAAAATTTCTAAAAGTATGCTTTCCAATATCTTTAGCAAACTACACAATAATGTATCAATGATTGACATTCAACACATCAACTTCTATGCAATATAAAGAGCTTTTGTAAATAGAGCTTCAAAAAAATCTTTTGAAGGAAGCCAAAATAATTATCTTTATACAACAAATAACTTCTTACAAAGAAGACTAAGCTCACCTTAGCTGCCATGTTGTTTGATTAGGTATTTGTGAGTGAATGATATCCCGTACAGTTGAGGCGAGGTATTTATACTTAGCGTCAAGAGTTGCGCACGCGCTGCCCATCGAAACATGCGTGTAGGTGCGTCGGCAGTGGTCAAAAACTGGATCGATTATTATATAATCCACGGTCGACAGCTAATTGCTCATTTGTCATGTACCAGTGACTCCTTAGTGTGAAAGTTTGCGATTTTAGCACACTGTCGAGCCTAATGATAATGAACATGTTTGGCATGAACTTTCTTTGCAGCAAACACCAAATGTTGATAATTTTGTTTAAGCTCAATCTTAGCCTGGTTCAAATTAACTCAATATGGAAGAAGAATGTTCAACAAAGTCAAAATATCGAGGTCAAATCAGTAACTTGATAAAAATAGTATTCTAGTACAAAACACTTTTATCTTTTATCTCATTATTTATCTTTTAAGAAAAAAAAGATATTTTCATTAATTTAAATACAGTTGGACATTCAAATATTATAAAATATTTTTTTCATTTCAGAATGTATGCGACAAAGTTTAAATAAACAGAAGGCTGTCTAATCATATCGCAATAGATGTTATCCTTTGTTAGTATCTTGATCTAGAAATTAGATCATTTTTACGACACCTAATTTAATTGTAAACAGTATCAATGCATAACAAGCGTCAGCGCGGGTCACGATATCACGTTGAGTATTAAGAGACAGGACCTGTCTTCCCTTAAACGCATAATACATTACATTTTATTTAACGGAGCAAAACGATCCGATCTAAACATCTTGTGTGTCTCGTTCTGTCTATGTTTGTAAACTTTTGTGTCAGTATGCAGTCATATACACATTTCACTTTTTTGTATGTGTCTGCATGTATGCACATGTATGATTGTCATCTTAACCCAAACCATAGCGAAAAGTGGCAGTATTTATTAAGTACATTTATGTAGCAATCTCGCGCTTCTCTGCCCAGTCCGTATTTCAATGGTCGATGCGACATAACAAGAAATGATAGTCAGATGTTATCCGGAGTACAATCTCTCGCGCGCGGTCAAACAAACCGCACGTATACGACGACCAATTAATTTACATCAATTCTCTTGTAATCTGTCTAAAAAAAATGTTGTTGTATTTTTGCGATGCCTTTCGATACTTCTGGGCATTTATAAATAAAAACTAGTATGTCGAAAGTTCAGCATATTTGTGTCCTAAAAAAGTAAATTTAAGTTTTTAAGTGACCTGAAATGCTTTGAAGGTTAAGTTCATTAAGAAATAATATTAGTTCCAAAGCATGAACAATTAAATTCCTAGATAATTAAGCTACCCCATCAAATAAACTGATGTTACGGGTCTTCTGTGTTACCTATTTAAAAAAACACAAAATTGTATAAAATTAAAAAAATTATTGATAGAAATAAAATACTTTTTAATAATTATGAAAAAAATATTACAAGTATCAAAACTATTTTGCCTGATCTTGATTCCAATTTTAAATGTAGATTTTATTTTTGTCCACTACTCACATATTATAACTGGCCAATTTTAATTCATTATAAGTCCTCACTCCTCACTCCACAATCAAAAAGTGTTTTCCTTTCGTGAATCTGAACTACGAGAAATCTATATAAGGGTCTTCTTTGTGACCAATTTACCTCACTGAGTAAGACTGGCTGTGATACTTTTTTCACTTATCCAATAGCAAATTTATAAATAAGTAAAAGGGCTTTTTAAAATGTTAATACCAGCAATAGTTATTACTCAATTGTTACTTTATTGTTGTTTATGATGAGTTAAATTTTCCATTATCCGCTTAACAAATTTCTCTTGTTTCACAAGGCTCGCTTAGTGATCATAACGACTCTGAGTTCGATATAAACAGACGAGTCACGGGGAATCTTATTTATTGATTAGCTATGTTTGCGACTTCGTCCACTTTCTTTGGGCTGTGCGTGCTACTGGCCAGTATTTGGACTTTACGACATTAAATTATTATTCTAACATTAAAAAAAAAAAACTGAAATAAATGTAGCCTGAGTTACTCCTTATTACATCAGCTACCTGCAAATAAAAGTCCCGTCAAAATCGGTCCAGCCATTTCAGAGATTAGCCGGTACAAACAGACGGACAGAAAAAAATTGTAAAAAAAAATTGTATATATATTCATATACATGTAGTAAAAACGGTTATTATTACAAACAGACATTCTAATTTTATTTATATGTATAGATGTATAGATAAGTAATAAATTAGTAAGCGTATGTGAATTACGTAACATATAAGTTGGTAATATCTTCGAAATTTAGATCAATGACTATGTAATAACAAATGTATATACTTGTCGCTTAACCAGTTTTCTCATTACCACTAACTTAAACATACTCGTGTCAAAGTTATTGCGCTATATCTATCAATAATATATATTTGACACTTTAAGCTGGTGTAATGCTTAAAGTAGATCCTACTTTCTAGTTATTTTTATATATTACTAATTGTGCCCGCGACTTTGTTTACATGAAATACTGCCTTTGGGTAGCATATTCGTTATATAGGCTGATAATCTTATATATAAAATTCTCGTGTCACAATTATCGTTCCCATACTCCTCCGTAACGGCTTGACCGATTCTCATGAAATTGTGAGCATATTGAGTAGGTCTGAGAATCGGCCAACATCTATTTTTAATCCCGCGCGGACGGAGCGCGCGACAGCTAGTTTTATTTAAATTTATAAAACATATTGAACTTACAAAACGATTATATGAACATACGCATGAATATACGCTTTTACAAACTTTAATTCCCCATTTCCTATTATTATTTTGCAACCTTAACGGTAAAATTATCACCAAAAAATAAGTTTCAAGCTTTAAACTGTAACAATACTTCCATATAAATTTTTATCCCTCACTTTCAACCCCTCAGAACCTTTTATTCTAGTTAAAAGTAGCCAATGTCCTTCCTCAGTCTCTAGACTATCTGCGTACCAAATTTAATTTAAATCGGTTCAGTGATTTGGACGTGAAAGCGAGACAAACAGACAGAGTAACTTTCGCATTTATAATATTTATAATATTTATAATATTTATAATATTAGTAACGATTTAAATAAATTTTAAACCAATAAAGTACGATGCAATAAAACAATAACAAGATAAATATTTAGAAATAACCACCATATAGCTATACAGCCGGTTTTTACAAAACTGGAGCAACCAGTGAGTCGACCACGCCCGAGGTAATGAGGTCAAGGGCTCTAGTACTTTTGATCTCATCGCCAAAAAATTCCCGAACACGATTGCTGATTAACGACTGATACATACATTCCGAACTCTTTATAAATGATAGGAGGTAATAATAATATTAAGTTATATATATTTATAGTTTTAATATAATATTATAATTAAAATTGTAACCGTCAGATGTTTAATCTTATTAATATTATAAATGCGAATGTATAGATGGATGTTTGCTTGAAGGTCCGGAACGGCTTAACGAATCTTGATGAAATTTGGTATAGATGTAGAACATGGTCTGGAAGAACACATAGGCTACTTATTAAGTTGATTTTGTAATTCCATAATGACGGAGTCGCGAGCGACAGCTGATTAAATCACAAATATGTTAAAATTGTTTTTTTATATAGGGCAATGAAACTGAATATTATCATGAACTATCGCCTTGAGACTTGGTATAACTAAGGTTAAAACCATATTTTATATACTATAAGGTAGCAAACGTGGATATTTAAGCTTCCTATGCATCTCCTCCTCTATCGAATCTTCCCCTTATCCTTTCCTCATTAGAAAATAGTGGGAAGGAAAAGAGGAGTAATATTAGACCTCAGACACACATCATTCAGACTTGATATCTGCCTACTGTATACAACCAGATGTTTGTTTACAAGTTGGCTTAGATAGCAATGCGTTGCCGCTAATCCAAGAGCTTTAAACCTGTCTTAGAAACTCCAACAGAAAGTTTACAAAAATATTCCACGCGTTTTATCGGAATTCGATCTTTTACTTATTTTATTGCATAACACGTATTATCTTTATATATATAATTCTTTTGTGAGTGTGTATGTCACTGAACTTCTCTCAAACGACTGGACCGATTTTGATGAAATTTTTTGTTTGTGTTCATGGGGATCTGGGAATGGTTTAGATTCACAATTTTCATCAAATATTAACTTCATATTAATTTATTCAAATTAAAGACGTGTAGACAGGACAACGTCTGTCGGGTCCGCTAGTAATATATAATATACATACGTATACGTACACGTCATTGTATGCCAAAAATAATTTTTAAAGCTATGTGACCTTTAACTCGTCGACCAGTGCACTTGTTTTTTTTCGTGACCGAACGCCTGCGGGTACCACATTAAAGGCTCAATATTCGACAAGTGCAGTATAAAAAGTGTCGCAGCTCCTTAATTATTACAGTTCAACTTCAACAGTTCAACCAACAACAACCAACAATGGCAGCCAAGGTAACAATAACACAGAAACAATATTAAATTTTAAAATTAATCAAATAATAAATAGTCCAAGATTGCACGACATCCAAAATTGTTCTTATATGCAATTTAGAAAAGAAAACGTATTGAAAATTGATATTTGTATACGAGTCCACTTCTGTCTATCCTAGACAACTTCGTTTGAGACTTGTCAGACATCCATATATGCCAGCACTATATCTTTTCATAATTTTTCCACTGGAAAGGTATCAAACCTAATTATCCGATTTTATAATTTCAGTTCTTCGCTATTCTGTCCCTTGCGGTGGCTGCGTCAGCGCTGCCCGTGGTGCCGGTGGGCAAAGCAGTGTACGCGGAGGCGGAGCAACCCGCGCACTACGAGTTCCAATACAACGTGCAGGACACTCACACCGGTGACGTGAAGCAGCAACACGAGGCTCGCGCCGGAGATGCCGTCCAAGGCTCCTACTCTCTGCTGCAGCCCGACGGTCTCACTCGCATCGTCCACTACTCCTCCGACGCTGTGAACGGCTTCAACGCCCAAGTGAGCTACGAGGGCCACGCCACATCCGCTCCTGCCCAGCTCGCCTACGCCGCACCCGTCGCTAAAGTCGCCTACGCCGCTCCCGTCGCTAAAGTCGCCTACGCCGCTCCCGTCGCTAAAGTCGCCTACGCCGCGCCCGTCGCCAAGTATGCATACTCCCCGGTCGCCAACTACGCCGCACCCGTAGCCAAGTACGCCTACTCTCCGGTCGCCAGCTACGCCGCACCCGTAGCCAAGGTCGCCTACGCCGCTCCTCTTACACAAGTCTCCTTCTCCTCCCCTGCCATCTCCTACCACCACTAGATCGTTATCTGTTACCATTGAATTGTTGAAGTTGTTCTATTTATTGATATGATTTAACAATTAAAATATTTATTGACATTACGATACCGTTGTTATTTTTATCCCTAATTGGAAGATATCACGAATGCTTTATAGACATACTTTATTAGTTAAAATATGTATTACATATGTAGAATACGTTTTGTGCATATCAAGCAACTACTAAGTGAAATCTTTATCCGCTGCATACTACGATGTTAAACCTGACCATGAACATACAGAAATATCGATAACACAATTTCGTCGTCCAATTTTGGACTTTATATCGATGTCCAGCGGGGGCAGTGAATGAGGAAAGCGGCGCGGGGGGTAGGGGGTTGGTTGAACCGCACATGAATTATTCATAAGCCGCATAGTGATTTCATCTCATTGAATCGAGCTAGTGGCAGCGCCGTGATTACGACAACGATACCTCCAACTGGCCGCAGCAGGAGCATGTGAGCCGCGGTTGTACAATGCCATTTATTACACAACTGTATGCTGAACTACTATCATCCTAAGCTAATTCACTTGCAACCTAATCTAAAGTATATTCTTATAAAACCACGACAGAATCAAACAACTTCAGGTTTCTAGAGTTACTATCCGTACTACTTTATGTTGTCTCTGTATTTTCAATAAGAATGAGCGAGATGGAAACAATTTTTGTGTTTTGGCAGTAGTAACACACATTGACTGTGTGAAGTTAAAGAACAGAAGACCTAGCATGAAAATTTACGAGAAAGTATTCGTAACTACTAAGAAAAAAAAAGACAATTGGTATCAGATTAGTAACATTACGATCGATAGGGGTACAAATTTAATACAATACTTTCTTGCAAATCATTTCGAACGATATAATCAGAATTCCTACCTTCTAGTTACGATCATATGAGATCGTTTTAATAATTACTATTATAAAACCCATAAACAAAATAAATAATACAAATGTAATTAAAGTAAACTGCTGTTGCTTTATAGCGTTCGCGCTTTTACAAAAGGCCTTATGTATTAGTACATAAATACAATACATACATTTTTTTTATAAAACTAAATTGGTTTAAATTATCTGTTTGTAAAATCTATAAACGTAGATTTCAACGTTATAATAAAGATAATCCAATCTTATGTTGGACAAATTCGCGTCGAACAAAGATAAAATTCGCGTTTATTTGCGAAACGTTTCAAATAGGCGGGTCGTTTATTTTCTCCGCAGGTAAAAAATTGAAAGAGATTGCTTTTTATCAGTGCAGTGGCGGCAAATTGAATGTAAAGTTGATTTCCCGGCGGGCCCGCCGCATAATTCCCCGCAAATTAAGCCGATACCAATTGACTTGGTACACGTAAATATTTTGCAAAATTATTTACATTTATATAAAGTCATGTTATCAGATCGTCTAAAACTATATTCATATACAAATGTAGAATATTAATTTTTAATATTGTAAATTTTATATCTTATGCAATGGTGTTGATTAAATCCGAATATTTTATTATTCCTCCTCACTATTCAATGGACCTACGTATTTAAGTGCGTACGATTTGAAACATTCAATGTGAACCATATAGATTGTAAAGCGTCCATCGACATTGTTATCCATTTCTTACAAATTGTACAAAAGAAGATCTTCTACTGTTTGTGATGATTTTAGATATATTTTTTAAAGTATATCTATAAAGCATTCGTGATATCTTTCAATTAGGGATAAAAATAACAACGGTATTGTAAAGTCAATAAATATTTTAATTGTTAAATCATATCAATAAATAGAACAACTTCAACAATTCAATAGTAACAGATAACGATCTAGTGGTGGTAGGAGATGGCAGGGGAGGAGAAGGAGACTTGTGTAAGAGGAGCGGCGTACGCGACCTTGGCTACGGGTGCGGCGTAGCTGGCGACCGGAGAGTAGGCGTACTTGGCTACGGGTGCGGCGTAGTTGGCGACCGGGGAGTATGCGTACTTGGCGACGGGCGCGGCGTAGGCGACTTTAGCGACGGGAGCGGCGTAGGCAACTTTAGCGACGGGTGCGGCGTAGGCGAGCTGAGCAGGAGCGGATGTGGCGTGGCCCTCGTAGCTCACTTGGGCGTTGAAGCCGTTCACAGCGTCGGAGGAGTAGTGGACGATGCGAGTGAGACCGTCGGGTTGCAGCAGAGAGTAGGAGCCCTGCACGGCATCTCCGGCGCGAGCCTCGTGCTGCTGCTTCACGTCACCGGTGTGCGAGTCCTGCACGTTGTACTGGAACTCGTAGTGGGCGGGTTGCTCCACCTCAGTGTACACCGCTTTGCCTACCGGCACCACGGGCAGCGCTGATGCAGCCACCGCAAGGGACAGAATAGCGAAGAACTGAAATTATAAGATAGCCATTTTTAAGTGCTATTTTCCCCTCGATTTAATCATTTATCTTTTACTACTATCTTCAAGAACTTTATTGTAGATTTTTTTATTTAATAAATGTATTACCTTGGCTGCCATTGTTGGTTGTATGTGGTTGATTCTCAGAGTTGAACTATAGTAATTATTGGTGTGCGACACTTTTTATACTGCAAGTGCGAGTGCTTGCTACCGCCCGGGGCTTTGGGTCGTGAAATATTTGTAACAGGTACAAAGGCTCGCGAGGTGAAGGTTGCTCGCAAATTTTTAAGCAGACTTATGAATGATACTTGTTTATCGTATATCCATGCTTAGTATTAAAATTTAATCGCCTTATTCATAGATTGTTAAAGTCATGACGAATTAAATGTTCTGATATTGTATTATAGAAAGTTAGAAGTTTTTCGAAATTGTGTTTACAGTTGGATTCTTCGATTATTTTATCCATTTTAATTAATTTTCAATGACATTTAATTCTCAGACATCTACACTAAGCATTCACTTAAGAAACCATTAAATTCTGACAATATATTTATATTTTTAATAGGACTAGATACAGAAACATATGAAAATTTAAAATCACAAGTAAAACTTTATATAAATTCAAAAAGACTAATTCAAAGTGAACGTCTTGTAAAGCAGGAGTTACGTAGCGCGCTTTTACAACTTTCTTCTTCGAAGTCTTATCCTTCAAAGGACTCATTAAAATTATAGACTAAGTATATAGTTTTGCTGCAATTATAACTTAGCATATCAAAGATAACGTCATGAATTTAACTTATAATCGCGAAAAATAATTTCTATTCTTTTGTGAAAAACGTGTTTTTAAAATTATTATTTTCAAATTTGATATGGTGTTCGATGATGTAGCGAATACATTAATTGTACGATCACTGAGAGTTTCTGAGACCAAAGTCCCCATTTATAACATATTGTTATGACGACATGTTTTATACAAACCTTTTGGTCTCGGAAACCCGCGGTAAATTATTGTAGAAACTTTTAAGGTTAGTTATAATTTTATGCCTAAAAAACAACAATGTTATAGTGTGTTTGCGATTTTAAATTAGGATGCTTTTTTTGTACTGATGTTTCATGAGCAGACTATTTATGTAGACGCACGTCTTTGCCAAACCTCCTCATCACCAGAGCATTTAACATACCAACAAAATTACCAATCATCATTAAAACATCAGGATTAAGAGTAATGAACATATTTTCGTATAATTAATTATTACGTTACAATTTTTTGGGAACATAATCAATGCCATTTTAGGTAAAGCGAGATCGATCGACATTCAACTCGCACGAATTTATATTAAATATGAAACCAGATTCTTTTACAGCACGAAAAGGTCACAGTCGTCGAAGTTTCGCTTTCATTAATGAGTAATATATTACCATACTTAAAATATATTTGTAACAGCGCAATGAGTTATTCAGGCAAAATATTCCTATATATTTTTTTAATTAATGAAATATAAAACGCGGCTGCACTATTTTTTTCTTTTAACTTGTTCTTAATTTCTATTATTTTTGCAGTTGAAGTAATAAACTTACCTAACATAAAATCTTTATTATTATCGGTATAAGATTCGTAAGACGGCCGTGTCCCAATCCTCTTACTGGCGAAAATTAATCAACCGCCCTGTGGGTGATATCGGCTTAGCGTAGGGCGCCCGACTTATACCCTTAGGTAGGGTATTGATTAATATTTAAAGGTGTTGGAAACTTTATTTTATAATAACAAACATCTAAGGTTGAGGAAGGAATGACCTTTGAAATAAATATAAATTTAAGGTTATAGTCTGCTTGTATTTTTAAAAATTCCGTGTCACGATGTATGTTCGCGATAAACTCCGAAACTGCTCAACTAATTCTTGTCAAATTTTATAAGCATCTGTAATTTAGTTCAACTTGGAAGATAGAGTGTTAATAGATGGAGATGTTATCTTAATTATTGATCGTTTTTAATTCCGAAAAGACAGAGTCGCGGGCAAATCTTTATATCTCTAATTCATTCATCATGTTTTTCTTATTATATTAACTGTTGTATATTGTTTTAACATAAAAAGGCAAAGGAAAATAACTTATATATTATACAGTATGTTTTATTTTAAAACAACTTTAATAAACTTCACTTTTTAGTATCTTTTGGTGGTATTGGACATTCATAAATATTAATGCATTTGTCCTTGGAAACTGACACCAGGTGGTCACTTGTTGGCTTAAACTTCACATCCCATACCTGAAATCAAACAAATATAAATTAAACTCACTGTCGCCCGCGACACTGTCAGCGCGGTTTTAGGCAACAACATAATTAATAGTCTATGTGTTCCTTCAGACTATATTCGACATCCATGCCAACTTTCAGCGAGATCTGTTGAGCCGTTCCGGAGATACCTTCTAACAAACATCCATCCATCAATCTAAACATTCGCATTTATAATATTAGTAAGAAGTAAGATTTATCTGCTCCCCATACTGTTTTTAACATAGAACAGTTTTCATTTTAGAAACATTTATTAAATTAATACAATTTACATATTTGACAAAACGCAACATCTCTACATTTTTTTTCATTAATTTATCAATAATTTGTTATAATTAACAACTAAAAAATTCCACAATCCACAATAAACTGTTTATTCACTAGTTAAAATTAGGCTAAAAACATAGAGATACT